TTAAAATCATGTTTATTGAAGAATTATACAAAACCCTAACATTTTGCACGGGACTTTACCTTTTGATTTAAAAAGAGGTCTAAAAATCTATGTTACATATATGGCCTTTTTTTAAAGTTAACTTGTAACACAATTTCTAACGAAAAAAATCAATTTTTGTGGGAATTTTTGTATGGACTGAAATTTGGCAAGTCAATGTATTTCTTTGTCTTTTAAATATAATAAATATAAGCATATGATAAATATAAAGTATATTAGTATACAACCCATATGTCAGTATACTTAGCTTATTTGTGTTAATGGAAGTATTATGATCATCCTGGTAGATGTAGTCATGAGAACACTGTTTGATGCGACTGACGTTTCGACAACCTGAGTGGAAGTCATCTTCAGAGTCAGGTGAAGAATAAAATCAGATTGGTCATATTTATACTGCCACGAAAACAATAGTAGCCTAATTACCTGGATTTGCATAATTGGCAGTATCAGTCTAATGAGTGCGAGTCGCTGTTTCGGTGTTGTGGTCGGGGTTCTATACAATACACATATTTGTATATATATAAAAAAAGAAATAACTATAGGTTCTAATATCTTACAAGGTTTTCTTCTTGTAATAAAGATAATGTATGTTGAGTAAAAATCGCAAGCCGGATTTACGAGGATTGATACAAGGTTTGAGAGAATAATGAATTAAAACGTAATGTGGAAAAAGACTGGAAAGACAAATTATAACGATTAATCGAACCTCCTAGTGTGGATTAACATTTCTGTATTTCCACCGAAAAACAATATCGGCACATTCCTGCATCATCCGATTATTATTATTGAACGAAAAACTTGTGATACTGCTCGAGAATTTAGAATTCATCGTACAATCGGGAAGTGGGTGTACGTGTAAAACCAGAACAAGATATTCGAGTTTCTAACCCTTTAAATATTCAATATGAGTACATTGGTGACGTTTGTGGCAACAGACCAAGCAAAATGCAAACATGACAAAAAATAGCAATAGCCCGACCAAATTCAGTAGAATTATTTCAGTAAATAAACCTCAATTAGTTAATTACTATGTATTATAGAAACTTATCAAAGGAAACAAATTTATAAATGAATTCATTCAACCTTTAAGGAATATAATGAGCTTTTACTTTGCTACTAGTATTTTGATCATAAAAAAAGTTTTGTTAGAGAGATGCAGAATCTGTGGCTGTAGCGTCACAAACGATAACAGGAAATGTCCAGTTGAAATTGAGACCGCATGGTCAATGAACGTGTCCTTGGATTCACCAAACGTTCATCCGAGGTTTCTTTGGGTAAAATGTGTGGCTTAAAGACCCATTGCCACTTACCGTGATGCACCGCGGTCACAGATAAATTTCGTGGTCCATGAAATTCAAAGATTCATATATTGAATAATACCTTCATAGTAAATCCTTTTCCGACATAGCACTAAGGCACAATAATGATTCTTTTACATTATTTTAAGAGTTTATTCAAAAGGTTGGCATTGTTTTTTCAGTGGTGACACGATTCAAAATGTAAACAAATTTTGATGCATCACAGTAAGTGGCAATGGGTCTTTAATATCCCTAAAGGAAAAGCATGGGTTCGACATGAAAAGAAGAGACAGCACAACAGTTGTTCCATTCGAATGGAAGCCTCATACTACTTTTGAAGATTGACAAGATCTTCGAAAAACTGGGACCTACTGTTTGGCTCTATTTTAGACAAATACTGGACCTTTTTAAAAAAATTATTATATTTCCATGAATATTTGATTAAAGCAGACTTAAATAAACCTTCAGAACCGTAAAAAGTACTCGACATATCGTTCACTTGTACTCGTCCTCGTGAGTGCAATGTTTACATCGAAGCAGAAAACAATAGAAACGTGACTCGTACCGCTCTCCAGATCTGGAGCGAATCCCGGACTGGTCATCAACTTCATTTTCCTAAGCGTGGGCATATTTAGATTTTGTCGCTGATGGATGTTCCTGAGACACATCCCCACTACATTTTCGTGAATGTGTACATGTTGTAAAAATGTTGTAACTACTTGTCCCTAGACGTCCACTCGTGTGTACAAAGCGTGATTTTGTCGCTGCTACATGTTACCTTATGCTTTGGCAAACTTTGGAAAACCTCATAATCTCTGGTCGCTCTACCAATCAGAGTGCGCGAAACTCTATATTCAGGTCTAAAATTATACTATACATTGAGATAATCAACGCAGCTCAAAGAAATGTTCGTGCATGTATGATAAACAGTTATCAAAAGCTTCAAAACAACTGAACCTCAGTTCTAAACACGAAGGAAACTGTTCCATCCATGCAAGTATACGCCGTTATCAAAAGCCTCTATATAATCTCTGTTTTAAACACGAAGGAAACTGTTCGACATTTTTCTTCCACAATGACATACTGAATGCTTCTTACTCACTGCCTCGACAGCCCGAGCACACGCTCCAAGAGCGTCAAGCTCTCATAAAGTTTTAAACGTTCATTACGAAAAATGTTGTAAGTTTTGTACTTATGTAGTCCGGGGCCTTTGTACTGAATAATAACAATAATAACCGTGGAAAAAGCTTCGTCTTTATTCTATTTAGCATGATTAAATAACAATGACCTTGTATTCACGAGATTCCCCTCACAATGCTGGTTTTTTATATAGTTGACGTCCTCTCTTTACAAGTATCCAAAATAAGAGGTTTTATAGGAACTCTAATTATTTTTAACCAAAACATTTTTTTAAACGGCGATGCGTGTTACTTAAACCTAAAAACGGCTACATTTTTTCCAATGAAATGGCTCATGACGGGAGATTCAATTTGTTCATGTTCTTCAGATAGTGAGATCAGCTACATTTACAATTTATTAATAAGAAAAATCCCTCGAAAATAATCCGTAGAACGAGAGAACAATGCTCTTAATTCGATTCAGTATGTTTAGGAGAACCCCTTGAATCATTTTGAAAATAAACGAACAATGCTTTCCTTGTTTAGATGAAGGAGACAGGGTAGTTTCCTTAAACGGTTTATAACAGTTATTTTATAAATTAAAATATACTACTTAACCACTTTGGGGATACAAAAATTGATTATTAATCATTTCCGTGCCAGTTATACCTTTCTTTCCGGAAAGAATCTTTCTTTTTTTCCCCGACCAATCAATATGCTCTTTTGGGAACAAACATTATTTGTCAGTAAGTCTTTAATTGGTCATTGTGAATAATTATTTTAGCCTCCTAAAGTGGAAGACAAGGTCTTGCAAGAACTTACAAGCAAAAACATAAGCTCAATTAAAGTAATTATACTAACTAGAAAATCTAAATAAATGGCGCACGAACGCCCTATGCTGTTTAAAAAACTCAGCTAACTGGGTGGCGGTTGAATTCTGGAAATAGTCAGGTGGCTATGTGCAAAACTTTGGCAAGATCTATAAAGAGCGGACGAAAGCACCAAAATTGGCATGGATGCTGGTTAGGGTATGGTAATCAATATTAGGACCGGTGCCCACTTTTATCTTTAGCGGATATCCTGTTAAGGGGTAATGAAGTTTGAAGAATTTGCTTTGACGGGCTCCCTGTGGTAGAACTTTTAACTTGCCTATTCTTCACTAAATGATATCAAAATGACCAGCAACAAACTGAAAAACGATTAAAAGAAAACCGATTTAAAAAAAAAACAACAAATTCATCAATATAGCGGTTTTTGTGATACATACATTTTTACATTCTTACTGCGGAAGTGGCTAGAATCCGTTGATAGCTTCTGGAAGGAATGCGTAGCGACAAACTCCATTGTTTGTGTCACATTTTCGGTGAAAAGTTCCCTTGCTTTCCAGGGAAAGCCCTTGCTTCTCCGATTAAATGTGGACGTGATGTCGTAGCCAGTCAAATCATGAGATATAGGAAAGGAGCATGACTTCTATACACCAAGGGAAGTCGAGATGCTGTTGATGCTGAGGGACCGATAGTTTCTTCCCCTTCTAAAAGCCACCCATAAAGGCCCATTTCTGCGCTGAGTAAGGCGTGGCGTAGGTGAACTATTCGCTTATCTGCTTAAGCGTGGTTGCAGTTTGAAATTGGTTGGCTTACTATTTAACCTCTCAGCACTGTCACAAAATTAATTGTAAGGAAACAAGGGATGGAGATCGAGTAATGCAAACTTAATAAGCATTGGCTACCTCCTGTGATGTAGATACTTTTGCCGGGTGTGAATGTGAAGCGGGCCACCTTTAGAGTCAGAAATTGGAACAATTCATTTTCGTTCTTAGAGTTTCAAAGGAACTGCATCCAGTTGGCCGGTAACGTTGCTTTTCCTGATGCCTTTCGCATGTGCAAGTGGATCTTTCGTTTACTCCTTTAGACTACCAGGAACATACRAATCCCATCCACAAGACATCTAGCATCTCTGAATGCTGCAGCTGACTCACTAGCTAGGTGCGGGATAAAAACTTATCCGCCTAGTCGTCAAATCAGACTAATACAGACCAGCCCAGYACTTACCGTCGTCATTAAAGGCTGTGTCGGATCTCAACGGCCCAAAATTTCAGAAAGGTAACTTTAACGTCTTTATCAAGAATCATATTGTAATTTAGTATAAACCTACTAGCATGCGTCTATCACGAATCCTGCATTTTGATTGCCTAACGTACTCACTATCGCTATCCTGTGATAGATAGTGAGTAGCGAAAAACAAGCAAGTGCATGGTCAAGTTTCGTCGAAATCTCTGCTTGTTCTCTAAAAATGTTCTTTAAAAATGGATTTAGAAAAGACGAGACTGTATCAAGGAAAGGAATGAAGGTTTTGGATAGTACAGATAAGTAAAAACTGGAGAATTTTTAACAATTTTAACGCGAAAAAGCGGCCGTAAGATTTCACTGAGATTTTCATGTGCAAACTTTACGACGGACAAACAACTGACTACTGAGATAACGATGGCATTTTAAAAGATTTCCTCAAAGAACAGAAAAAATCCAAAAGATAACTTATTCACGCATATTTAAGAAGAATGTTAAATGGTGAGAACAGACAAAACAATAAAGAAATTATAAGTTGACTGACAAAAATTCAGTAAACATTGCATGGCCTTGAATGATCTGAGGAAAAAATCCGTTCAGCTTATCACTCATTAATTAGAAAAATTATCCCAAGAAGAGATAAAAAGGTAAGAAATCTTGAAAATAGAGTTTTGATTGTAAAAATAGAGACAAAAAGCTATAAAAGCAAGCAAGCAAGTTTAAGCTCACAGGTTAAGACATCGAGTCGAGTTCGCAAATATGAATGAAAACAGTGCTGCAGGTTGACCGTCGCTTTGTACAGTAAAGTTTTCAGCGTCATTCTTTGTTTTCAATACGATAATAATAGCTAGTAGTTTTATGCTAAAACAATTAGACTACTTGTTCTCGGTTGCAGTCTTGGACCTCTTTTTAAAAAAGCACAACTTGCTCAAGCGCAAAATGTGCAAAAGTGAGAAAGTTCAAGTAATAAATGCTTGGCTGTCTATGCAGCTTTTAAATACTACGACAGGTACAACAGAGGAAGAGCATGAAGAAGATGGTACTTCACGCGAGGACACTGAAGATGATGATAATTCATGTGTGGTCGACACTGATGAGGATACTGAAGATTTGGATAGCGACGAAGAAACTGACATTGTTACTCATGAAATAGGAATTACTGAYAGTGAGAAAGACGATGACAGAGAGAAAGAAGAAGCTGAAACAGTCAATGTTACAAGAAGTGGTAGACGTGTGCAACCAAGAACATTCTTTTGGRATTTAGATTGAATATAGGTAAATCTGATCTATTCTGATTTTGCCCCCAACCCCCCCACCCCTATACTTTATGACCAGTCCCTTAACAGGATATCCGCCAAAGTTTAAAGTGGGCACCGGTCCTAATATTGATAACCATACCCTAACCAACATCCATGCCAATTTTGGTGCCTTTGTCCGCTCTGTATAGATAGAACCGTCGATCTAACTGACTAAGAGCGCGTCTGTTATATTGTATGTAATRTTTGGTAATATGGAGATCTGAAAACTAAGACCTGGTGGAATTGTGGGAACAAAGTTAAAAAAATCAGAGGAGAGACTAGCCGGCCCCCCGACCATATCTACAGCTAATCCCTTGCACTCTACCAAGCACTTGCACGTTGAATTAAAGTGGAAAATAATCTAGTCTATCTGGTGCATTGTTTTCATGGCTTTTGTTGTGTTAATTTCCTCAGACAGCTCGTTAGCGCATGTCATCGCTCAAACTAGGCATATTTATATTATTCAGTTATTATTCATATTCATATTATGCAATTACCAGCTTACGATCCACAATTTATTTCGGTTTCAGATTTAAGATCTCCGACCGACAAGGTTTTTTTTTGAAATTGGTGTATATGAAGAATTAAAACTAGAGTTATTTCTCTTACTAATAGTCTGAATAACACAATTGTATTGAGCACTTGATCTTCAAACCTCCTTTAATGTAGGCTGGTAATTCAGCATCGATTTTTTCCATGACGTTACGAAACTCTAAGGTATCCTCAGCTTTGGTAAACGAATGCAATCGAGCAACAGTACAATTGGCTTTTTCTGGAGTGTTACTCAGAACCGATARCCTATTGATGAAAATAGATAAATAAATGAAAGAAAAACAAATAAAACGATTAATAAATTTAAAAAATTGATACGTTAGTAAATAAACATAAGGAAGAAAGATAAAAAAAGTACAAGAAAAAATGCAAAGATGGAAGATAAGAGAACATTTTAAAAGAAATCATAACGATGCAATATAGCATTCACTGACACAACTGACACCTTACTACCTTACAAATGCTGTTATGTCTTGAGTCTTTAAACCATGAATATCTCCAAACCAAGTTAAATAAAAACTTATGAAATCATCTATCTTATAATATAAGAACAACTTCCATCTGTGTCCACATTCCAGGAATATTGGGCTTTCAGTACCGTAGTTTGTTATCCATAGATAACTTCCTTGGGACTTTTTTAGGGTTTCCTTTGAAGTGAGATATAAGAGAAAGAGATATAGGATAGGTTAAAGCTAAAGAAATAATCATTATACTGTGTCAATGGCAAATTTTACATGAAAACATGATCATTTGATTTGTAGGGGAAATGGGGTGAATTGAAACACTTATTATTTTGTATCTTCTATACTTTCTACCTTAACGTGGTTTAATTCCTCCTTTAGCTGTTTGTTTTCTTTGGCCAGTAACATCATGTGTGGTGCCATGTTGTCTTGTACGTGTTTATCGACATGTTGTCGTTCAACTTGGGCTAAACATCCCTGATCCTTGAATGGACAATCTACCGATACTTTATAACAAGCAGTAGCCAAATGGTCATCGACATCCATCCTTGGGACAAAAGGAATTCTAATAAAACCGTTGTTGTGTTATTATTAGCGGAAATCGCGAGTGGGCCGAAGACCCGCGCGAGCGGAGCACCATACTTAAGAAAAAATGGTAAACCATCGAGTGTGATTTTTCATGGCTTGGCTGACGTCACTTCCGTCCGTGTACACAACACAGGAATCCCGCTTGATTTCAAAGAAAAACTACTCGTAAATGCGCAGAAAAATAGTTTTAGGACAAATTATAGACCAACAACAATTTAAAGAAAACTTTCATATACTCAAAGGTAGATCAAGAAGTGTTCTGCAAGAAGTTAGGTGTGTGTTTTTTAGCAAACAATAGTATATTATTTAATACTGATTTTGACAAGAATTTTTATCGGCAAATCAAAGAATTTCTCTCAAACCTTTTAATATTTCTATAGATAAGCTTAATTGATTTTAATACTGGATGAAATATAAAACGGAGAGCAAATATTACAACAAATATTCGGCCTTYATAGCATTGTAAATCTTTAACTATCGTATGTTTTTCGTTCAAGAAAAATACAGCTTTGATCGCCTCCTATCGCGGGGTCCCATCGGCAAACAAAAGAAGACTTTCATTCAATAATTTTATATTTTTTCTATCGATAATTWATTTAAATATTGAATGAAATATAAAATTGCACCAAATATTTAACTGTTCAATATTTCGAGCTAGTATGATTATACAAATAATTTGTGTTGTTGAAAGATGTTATTGTATGATGACCTTGTCTTTCATTTTAACCAGTTACTTAATATTCAAAAAACACTCTGCAAATGCAAATTGATGGTTTTCACGTCGGCCATRTTGGAGTAATTCAACAAAAGAATTATTGTCAATGAATTCTTTTGTTATATCCTCCAACATGGCCGCCGTGTCTTTCGTCACTTAATTCTCTTGGGAATGGTTGAAAGCCATCAATTTACTGACGAGGAAATTCATCATTTTATATTTTGCATTACATTTTGCTTTATTTTTCTATTTTGTTTCAGTTGTTTTTTAACAAGTTTA